CTTTATTCCATGGTTTTGATTGGGCCTCTGTCATTATGTTCCGCTCTTGAATCGGGAGTCAAAGATGTGTGGGGTTGACTTCTAGCCACTGTGGCGTTAGCTTAAGGTAAAGTTCTTCATTTTCAATTTGATAATACGTGGGGTAGGGAGATTCAAACTTAGTTTTAGTTGTTCATACGACAATGGCACTAAATGAAACTCTTCCGGGGCTGAATTAGATAGATAGTTAGGAAAGTCCAACTAGAGCATTCAGACTGTGTAACTGAACTAACAATAAAAACTAAATATATAATAAAATGTTTTATTTTATTATTTAGTTAAAAACAAGGTGTAGCGACATCAATCACCCATCTTGAGAGGAAAATAGAATTATCCTAGTGGAAGTCAATAAATTTTTTTTTTCTAGCCAAACTTCTTAATTTAGATTATGATGTGAATAAAGAGATTCCTTGTATTTTATGCACACATTTCTTAACTATTGGAGAAACTTTGGTTAATGTTCATAACCAAATGATTATAATTTGGATGAATGACCAAGAGGTTAAGTTAAATGTGCTTGAAGCCATGAAATACCCAAGCGATATGGTATTCAAGATCTAAATAATTTAGTTAAGATTAGTTTTGAGTCCGTAATGTTGGAGCAACATATCCAAACATTTGGAAATGTTGTAAGAGATGAGCTATAGAGATCGATAGTTTTAAATACAAGCTAGAGTGTGTAATTTTAAAAGGGCTTTTGAATCCCTGGAATTGACTGAAAATAAATCCTTACTTCTATTAAAGAGCCTCCTAAATTGAAATTGAAATCTTTTTTCTACCCACCGTGAAATTTGAATCTGACCTTGAGATCAAAATATCAAAAAAAAAAACTAATGCCCAATAGGCTTGAAGACCAAGAAGCTTACATAAAAACCACACACAGCAATCATTCTGGGTAAAAGAATTACTTCCACTATTAAGTAGCTAAAGTATATATATATATAACCAACCCATTACCATTCAATTAAACCAAACTGTTAACACTTCTAATTTGAACAAGCCGTCGCAAAGAGTTGATGGGAAGTAGCAGGAAAATAGCCTTCTCGTCTACGGGGAGACAAGAAATTTCTTCAAAAGTATTTCTTGTTTATACGTATCAAGACTTCCAATCACTTCATAAATCAGCAACGAAATATGAAAATGTTCTAAAAGAGCGAAAAACAGCTAATGTACACACATGCATAAGCAACTATGATTGTCAGACCCTTCGATTTATAAACACAGAAAACTATTCACATGTCAATGAAAATTTGATTCCTTGGTGTGTACACATGAACAGAAGCAACAAGGACCAAGACTCGAGGAACAGCACATACCTGCCTAGCCCAAAAGATCCTCATAGTTCTGAATGATAATATTACTTGCTGATCAGAACAAATAAATGTCCCATGTTGCAAAGACACTCAAAGTCTCTAATCAATAGACACGTTAAAAACAGATAGCATTTCTACTAAATATTCTCTGATATCTAAACAGATACACTTTCTAGAGTTGCAGTATCTGGGAAATGGTTTGCAGAAGAAGAAAAATTAAAATGAACTACAAACTGATAAGATAGCTCCAAACTTGGCAGAAGGTCAGGCTATCAACTGAAAGTTTGATGTTTATCACAGGAAGGACGACAAGAAATAAGATCGGCAGGCATATGGAGTCAACTCAAGGATTCAAACTTAACATATTATGAGATGGCGGACTATTCTTACTTGGGATTCCTAAGAACAATGATGACAGAGTCTCCTCTCAGAAACATCTTACTGATGAATCTGTCCTTGTTAACAGGTTGAGCCTTTTTCTTGCCCTTCCCAGTTTTTGGTACCTAGACATAGTAATTATACATGAGATGCGTAACTCATGAGTCTACAATACAAAGCAAGGAAAAGAGTAAGCACACATCAAGCAAACAAACCTCAGTCCACATCTCTCTAACATTTTCCAGAACCATATTACAATGCCGATCAAAGGCCCTCACACGTCCCAAAAGCTTCTTATTGTTGCGACAATTTATGAGTACCTGTCGAGGGGGTCCAAAACATGAGGGTTTTTACCTAAACGGTTCACCTGCAAATTACAAGGCACAACTCTTTAACACACACAAACAAAGCATACCTGTGTGTTATTTTTAACACTCATCATGAGAACTGAAAGTGGACCAGTGTTGAATTCCTCTTCTTCATTCTTGTTAGTCTGCAAAAGGATTCAAAGTAAGTAATTCCTAATGACGTTCTAGTAGCACTTCAGTGAAGTTTCAAGTAAAAAAATAAACAGAACAAAGTTGAAGAAGTCCAAAGATCTTGCAGCATAACCCCAAAGCAACAACTGGGAAGGGGGCCTGGAAAGATTTTAAAAAAAGGTTCCTTGAAAGAAATATAGCCAATACACTTATTTATAAATCAAAAGAAATGAGCTTCATGAAAATGTCGTAGTTATCACTTTTTAAAAAATTATAAATATAACCATTTTATAAATAGCTTACGAAAGAGTAACTTGGTAACAATCATCAAATGGGAATGGAAAAATATCACAATAATCAACCATAGAAACAATGTTGAAAGAAAAAACGGCACTGGATCTAAAGATCATCAATTTTACTCCAAAAGGTATAAAACACGTCTTAAAAAATCATCCAGTTTCTTGCCAGCCAAACTATAGCACCCAAAAGATAGCAGAAATTTCACATTTTACAGAAACAAATATATTTTTTAAAAGAATTAAAAAATAAAACACCATTTTAAAGACCAACTACCAAGGAATTTCCAACATAGTAAGTAAAAAATAAAAACCCATTTTGAAGACCAACTGTCAAGGAATTTCTCTACTAGAGAAATTCAAGATATTGTACACTAAACCAAAACTAAAGCACATCAGAAAACTCGGGATGGAAAAATAAATGACTAAAAAATACAACATTATTCACATAATACCAAGGGGCATAGAAACTGAGATCTTTTCCTTTTTTTTTAAGTTATTACAAATATCCAACCTTCCTAGTCTAAACAACAAAAGCCATGTGAACTTTTCACAGGGTTTCTAACATAGATAACTAAAAATCATAACTTCCAAACATTACTTATATATCAAGTTTTCAAGCATCAAACTCCAATATATCAAAATATCATTCAATCAGCAGAATTTAGTAAAATTAAAAATTGACATAAAGCTGACCTTTAACTAAAGACAAAAAAAAAATACCATGCTAAAATGTTATCCAATTTTAATAAATTTAAAGAGAGTTCAATAGTTGCCTCACGGGCATTAGCAGAGGTAAGAACTAGCTGGTCTACAGGATCATGATTATTAGAAAGAGAAATCATAATTTTTCAGTACAAGGATAAAATTTTCATCCAACTCAAAAGAGTTGTGTCAATGAAAAGGAACAAGAGCCGAAGATATTATACAATGAAAAGCTTTTATAACGACTCAAGAGTAAGACATGATTCAAACATACTTGCGCATAAGAAAAATGTCGAACCATTTGGCAACATGTATTGGATAAAAGTACTGAAAGCGAAAGCACAAAAGACTGAAGAAACTTACATCTTCCTCCATTGGTCGGCTGAAATTGAAGACAAAAGAGGGAGGATATGAAAGGCATTAGCATGTTAGAATTAACAAATAGAAGACTAAGATGTCGCATAGACAAATATGCAAATACCAAAGAACAAAATACCTCATCTTGTAACTTGAGGTAGATCTTCTCCAATGTCCTTGGAATGAGTCTGAAAACACAGGAAAACATATGACCATAAGCACATACAACTGTATCAGCATAATCTCATAAAACAGAATGTGCCTAAAGTTGCCCTAAAGAACATCATGTTCCAGAGAAACTATAGTCGAGGCTTAAATTGTTCGAGAAAACACAGAATGAGAATATTAACCCTTCACTCAAGGTCTCCAGTGATTGTAGAGCATTGATAAACTCGGGAAATGAAAATTTGAACTATTTTCATCCTAAGAGGCAAACAAGATATTACATGTACACATCATAAAACATTCAAGTAATAATACCTCAGTAAGATGCAATAGTTTAAGAACACACTACTAGGGAAACTGCACAAAAAAAAAAAAACAGCAGGAAGGACGAAACAATGCAACTAAAAGAAAAGAGAAAGAAAGACGAATTATAAAACCAAAACTGAGAGTGAGATTGAGAGATGAGAACAGAGGGAGGAGAGAAATGGAAAGAGAGAGAAGAATTAATCAGAGAGAGAGAGAGAGAGAGAACTGACCAGAGCCGGAGAAGACCAAAGGAGAAGGCGAGGGCGAGGGCGAGGTCGGCGGCGAAGTGGCGATAAATAACGAAGAAGATCGGAGAAGGAGGGGGAGAGGGAGAGGGCGAGGGCGCGGTTTTGTGCATAATATTTTCGGCAAAAATTAGCGCCTAAATTTCTAAAAATATTATTGAATTTTTTAAGAGAATCCATAAACTTTTTAACAAAAATTTAAAAAAGAAAATTACTCTTAATTGTTAATAGCAAGTTTCAAAAGTATTTTATATCCTTCATGTTTAAAAAAAAAAAAAACAAACAATTTTTTTTAATATGGACTAAAATGTACCATCATCTCCATCATCTCCCTCATCTCGGTTACCCGGTCTCTACAATTGAAGCTAAGTTTAGGACATGACTCTAATACCATGATAGGAATCACGATTCTCCACCTATGATATTGTCCACTTTGAGCATAAACTCTCGTAACTTTACTTTCGGCTTCCCTAAAAAGCCTCATACTAATATGAGACTCACTCTCAACCCCCCAGGCATCAAACAAACTTCTTTAAGTTGATTTAATTGATAGAATTACGAGTCCCATGTGTATTGAAAAAAAGTTTTAACGACTTTCGAACATAACACAACCAAAAGTATAAATTGATAGACTTATAAAAGTTCAGAACACAACCAAACCAAAGGTATAATTTGGTAGACTTATAAAAGTTCATAACACAGCCAAAGGTATAAATGGATAGACTTATAAAAGTTCAGAACTTTAATCGAGACAACCGAAAACTGTACAAAGAATATTTACACTAAAATTAAACACAACAAAGCCTTGGCCTAAATCAAGTGGCATTATCAGTAAACTTCAATACACTGCCAAAGAATAAGCGGCTAAAAGCTACTTGCTGCAAACAAGTATCTGAAGAAGACCCTAAAGAGGACAAAAAAATGTACAGACCTGATTGATTATAGACGACACTTGCATATAAATATAATATCAACCCTTTACCAGAAAATTTGTTTGCATCATAGCTACTTGCAGAGAAATTCCAAATGCAGCTTTACACAGCCTCCTCGGCAAGGTAAGAAACACAACACTCACTCCTTCTTTAAGAGGCTGCGCTTTGGGAAGATCAATCCAAGAAATCCAGACATCTTGCTTGGCTTCCTTTGCTTAGAGCTGCAGGCAGGGTTGTTCGAGAATGAAGGATCAGAAACATAAGAATCTTGCTCTTCGTTGTCCTGAACGTCTTTTGTAAGTCGATGCTTTTTGAACATCATTCCAAGAAATCCAGGCTTCTTGCTCGGCTTCCTTTGCTTGGAGTTGCAGGCAGGCTTGTTAGAGAATGAAGGATCAGAAACATAAGATTCTTGCTGCTCATTATCCTGAACGTCTTTTGGAGGTCGGTGCTTTGTGAAGATCATTCCAAGAAATCCAGGCTTCTTGCTCACCTTCCTTTGCTTGGAGTTGCAGGCAGGCTTGTTAGAGAATGAAGGATCAGAAACATAAGATTCTTGCTGCTCATTATCCTGAACGTCTTTTGGAGGTCGGTGCTTTGTGAAGATCATTCCAAGAAATCCAGGCTTCTTGCTCACCTTCCTTTGCTTGGAGTTGCAGGCAGGCTTGTTAGAGAATGAAGGATCAGAAACATAAGATTCTTGCAGCTCATTATCCTGAACGTCTTTTGGAGGTCGGTGCTTTGTGAAGATCATTCCAAGAAATCCAGGCTTCTTGCTCACCTTCCTTTGCTTGGAGTTGCAGGCAGGCTTGTTAGAAGATGAAGTATCAGAAACATAAGATTCTTGCTGCTCTTTATCCTGAACGTCCTTAAGAAGTCGGTGCAATTCAAAGGCGCCCGCTTTTCCTTTCTCACTCCCATTGTTGGAGATCTTCCAAAGAAGAGGGAAAACACCTTCTGCCATTACTAACTCACAATACTCAACTCGTTGAGAGCATAGCGAAAGGAGAATAGTGATTGCGTGCTCCTGGTTTTCGAGCTTGCCCATTTCAAGACGTCGAACAATGGAGGCAATGCAGCCATTAGTTTCAACAATATAAATCTTTCCTTCTTCAGTTTGGCACAAATTTTGCAGAATAAACATACATTTCTCTGAGAGATCATCCTCATCATTTAGCAAGGAAACTAGTTTTGGGATGCACCCCAATGATACGATGTCGGAGCGGATGTGGCTGTTTGAGGACAAGTTAGCAAAAGTTTTGACAGCAAATTCTTGCAAGGCTTTGATCTCTAAGTCGAGGTACTCAACCATTGAAGCGAGAACACCAGACGTAATGAACTTAGAACCGCATTTATGGTGGCCAGATAATGCTTCTAAAATGGCAAGAACTTCATCAGTCACTTCTGAATTGAGTAAACTAGCCAATGTTGTCAGAATCTTCTCGGGAACACTCAGGCTGTTCGACCTGCAATAAGGCCAACGATCGAGCACGATTCCATAAAAGATGTGAAATTCAGATAGGATGAAATGTATGAGCTTCAAACTGAAGAACATGACTGATAGGTACATCAATATAAAAAAATAAGAGCATAAAGTACCTGCTTCTGATAGATACATCAATATAAGAAAATAAGAGCATAAAGTACCTGCTTTTTCTCACAAGTGAAAGAAACAGCTCAGATCCATTTTTCTGAGCTTCAGAATCCTGAAGATCAAATGCATCCTTTATAAACAAGGCAAGTTGATCCATGACAGTTTCAGATAAGATAGGACCAAATCTGTTTTTGTTAATGACGTCGTTCATATCCTTAATAACCTTGCTTTTTGATTCCCACGAAAGCTCACTCATGGTAGAAGGAAACTCCAAGTTTGTTTCCTCAGCATTTGAATCAGATTGAAACCTACCCAGATCATCATCTTTACTCTGCCTAGACTTGATACCCAATTCATTGAGCCTCAATGAATCTGGATAATAACTATTATGAAGACCACCAAACGAGATATCACTGAAGTCGATGGGTAGACGAATTTCGTTCATCGAACTTCCAAAGCTAGCAATGGAATTCTCCCAAACCTCGGGGCATTCTGGTTCCACACTTGGGTCGGGAATTGTGACTCTAAACTTTATGCACCATTTATGAATTAATTTCTTCATATCAACATTAGGAGTCATTGAAAAATTGGTCAGTTTCATTTTGGTTAGTGGGCATGTATCATGACCCTCCTTAAACCATTTTTCAATCCGTACCTTTTCATATGTCACTTTGGATTCAACTACGACAGGATCATACATCAATCTCAATGATATGGGGCACTTGAATTCCTCAGGGGGAATGGCTCTATTGAGTATCATATCAGCTTGGGGAGTATCATTCCCTTGTCTCACATTACCCTCCATTTCCCCATATCCATTGCTACTAGAGATATCCGCTCGGGCTTCCGAGATTTCTTGCAGTATCAGCTTCCCATACTTCTTCAAACGATAGAAAAGGTATGTCAAAATCTTCCTTTTCCGGGGATTACCATGACCAACATCATCTAATAGTTTTCTGATTGATCGTCTCTCGAACAACATTTCCTTATAGGATAAAATATTAAGCCTCAAAGCAGCAATTTTCAGAGCCTTGATTTCAGAAATTTCAGGAGCATCTGGAGACGATGGACCGAGCTTCAACAACTGTTGCATAGCCTTCCAAACCTCTTCTTCAGATGAGTCAAGGATGAATTTCGCAATCTTAAGATCATCTGCTATTTGAGAGATCTGAAAACAATGATTCCATTGTCATCCGATTACCAGGTGAAGTTATGGGGGAAAAAAAAAATTAGAGAAAAAACAGCAGCAACTAGAAGAACAAAAATAAAGTGTAACAGCTCAAGCCCAAGTCCACCGCTAGCAAACATTGTCTGTTTTGACCCGTTACGTATCGTCGTTAGACTCATGATTTCAAAACGCGTCTACTAGGGAGATGGTTCCACACCCTCATAAAAAATGTTTCGTTCAACCCCTCCAACCGATGTGGGATCTCACAATTCATTCCCTTGGGGGCCAGCGTCCTTGCTAGCACACTACCCAGTGTCAGGTTCTGATATCATATGTACAGCCCAACCCACCATTAGCAGATATTGTCTGCTTTGGCTCGTTACTTATCGTCGTCAGCCTCACGGTTAACACGTCTGCTAAGGAGAGGTTTTCACACCTTTATAAGTAATATTTCATTCTACTCTCCAACCGATGTGGGATCTAATCAATTTTGTTCTTTCTGGTATGCTACTATAAAGCATGGATAAATACAGCTAATAATACTAGTCGAGGTCTTCAGCTCGCATATTCATGCACCAAGAGATCATAATTTGGTAAATGATAGTGGTAAACTATAAGGCTTTCTTTCTTTTTCTTCACAAAGTAGGGTATAAGAATAAAAGAAACGACGATATTGAATTCGACAAACCTTCCGAGCCAATGCCACAGGAACCATGTATTTAATTTTACGCAAATTGTGCTCCAACAAACTCTTCACTCTATGACATCTAGAGATAATCCTATCTCCAGTTAATGCCTGAAAGAAATACATGCATCGTCACTGATAATTAGCCACGGTCGGTGACACGCTCACCGGATAAAGTTTAATCACAGACAAGTCTGTTTTTCAGAGGATATGCTCACCAGATAAAGTTTACTCGAGTCTCGACAATACTGAAGAACTAGCTCTGCTTTCTTCATTCCAATGTTTAAATTACACAGCGCCTCTCTTCCTTCCGGGCTTCCAGGACGAGCTGCTTCAATCTCTGGTAATATCTCTAACACCCGGTCGACCAACTTCATTAACTCGGTGCACATTCTACAATGAACCTAAGTTCACAAATGGATTACAATTCTAAAACTTCCTAACAGAAACAAAATTTTAAGGAAAAAAATCCAAATTCTAACTTCTTTTTGCTTCATGGAATTTCCATACAAAAAGTGCAATGATACCTTAAAGGAATATATATTTGAAACTGCCTCCACTTTTTTGGTACTATCAGTTCCCATTCATAAGATTCTACAAACCTTTGACAAAAGTTACAACAAAGGATAGTAACCAACATTACCAACCCATAATAGATTTAGCTTCAAACATAGTAGAAGTTCTAAAGATAGTCTATCAGAACTGGCATACAAATACGTTAAACATAGTTTCTCAGAGTTCTGATATGTAACAGCCCAAGCTCATCGCTAATAGATATTGTCTGTTTTGGTCTGTTACCTATCGCCGTTAGGTTCATAGTTTTAAAACGTGTATACTAGGGAGAAGTTTCCACACCCTTATAAGGAATGCTTCGTTTTCCTCTCCAACCGAGGTGGACCTGATGGCATCTTCATGTAGCATGAACAGTTTACTGGATCAATGCATAATTTTCAACCAGGGCCACAGAAGGAAGAACTTTGACCAATTCAAACGGGGACAGGAAACACCAAAGCTACCCAGGTTCAGGAGGTTATTTCAGTCCATGAAATTAATCCTCATTGACTTCAATAATGACACAGCACAACAAAATGAACAATTCAAACAAAGGTTGTGATTCAAATTTTCAATGGTATATGATAAGTTTCAAGAAAAGATAGCACACAATTTATGAACCAACTTTTAAGAGAAAAACAGCTTTTGATAGAGAGAGAGAGATAGAGAGAGGATACTCTGAGATGCAGAAATTAGAACCAAAATGGAAGAACCCCTTGCAGATTATGCAAGAAAGACTTCAGAATTGTAATGAAAATTAAGAGAAACCAAAAAACTTAACCAAACATGTTGCAAAAAACGAGCAAAATAAGTCCTCTGACCCCAAGAATTCCTTTAAAGTCACTCAGTATCGGACAGATTCCAAGTTGTTTGGCTTCATTCTAGCTTCAACACGAAAAAAGAAAGCCCCAAAGTGGAACGGCATCCATACCCACAAATCATCTCCCTTATTCGAACCCAGATTTCAGAAATTATTCATAACAAAATTGCACACAACCAAACCAATCGAACCAATATATCGTCTTCTTCTTCTTCTTCTTCTTCTTCTTCTTCAACCCCTTCTAAAGCAGAGTATAAAAAAAGAAATTAAAAAAACAGAAGAAAACCCCCCTTTCTTCAGCGAATAGCAAAACGCGCCACCATGGCCTTCCACAGTCCACAGTCCGCTCTGATACCGCGAAGAAAACCAGAAAAAGGGTTCTCTCTGCTAATAAAGTGAGATAAGTGCGTGGAAAACAATTTGAAAGCAACCCCATAATTAATGATGACAATCAGACGACACAAAATGAAGGCAAAACCCATTGCGGTTAAGTTCAGAAGAGAAGATTTCAAATGAATTCATGTGGCATACGAAATTCACAAAAGGAAATTGAGGTTCAAAAATTAGTAAAATGAAATCTACTATTCAACTCAGTTTCATGGGGGCTATCCATCATTGTCAATGGCTTGCATGATCAGTTCATTTGCTAGACTGTGGACCAGAGTCAAGTTTGTGGAATCAACGCCTCAATTAATATCTCTCAGACAATGCTTGTAACCCTAGAAAAATCATAAGATACCATTATTGGAAGTGAAAATAAATAATTTTTTTAACATTCATTGTAACAAACTTATAATCGAATTTGATTATTTAAGTAATGCAACTTATTGTACGTGGGCTAATGGTTCATTGATTAAATTTTTCTTTAAAGCCATGCATTCATTACACATAAATAGTATAATAGACCGTATTAATGTGAGGAGAAAGCCCATCTAAGTTTCTTCTGGCGGCCAGAACAAATCAAACGAAGATATCATATCATATTTAATATAATATAACGTTGGATATAATTTTTAGAAACTCAAATTTTAATACACTCTAAGAATACACTCTTCATTGGTGTGAGACATTTTGGGAAGCCCAAAGCAAAGCCATGAGAGCTTATGTTCAAAGTGGACAATATCATACCATTGTGGAGAGTCATGTTCGTCTAACACGGTCCATAATGATATTCTAATTCAGTTTAGATTGGATCATAAATTTTTTCTATGCCGTAAAAAAAAAACTAAACTGAATTGGTTGACTCCAAAAATAATGACTCAACCCAACCACAAATGCTATGTAACCAAATCTAACCCAACTCTTATGATTCACGTCAGGTTGATAAGAGTTTTCGAATTATCGAGTTTGGTGTGCACTCCAATCAGAATTTAATAAAGACGATATGAATCAACCTCTTCTTATTGTGCCAAAAATCATACCATGTTTTAATAGAATTGGAATTACATCTCTTCTCCGTTTCCACTCCAAAGTTTTTATGTGCTTCTATGTCCCTTCACACCTCGAAAAATATAACATTTTTTTACCGAAATATATATATGTAGTTTTATAAATTACCTAATGCAAAATTATCAATCTCATTGGAGTAGTTCTTTTGAATCATTTCTCCATTGCAGTAGTCTCCTTTGCTACTCCAAGTTAGGGTTGAATTTAATAAAAAAAAATTGAAGCAATGGTAAAAATCTTGAGATTAGCGACTTTAAGATTTGTTTGTTCTATGGAAGAATTTAATAACCCAATAAATCTCCTGAGTTAGGACAGGATGAATGGACACAAAGGTGATGAACAACCACCACAAGTGTAGTAATCATATATGTACAAATAAGGAGTGGGGGAGTGGTTTTCAGATTTGGATGAAAATTCTAACTATATGTGAGTGGAAAAATGCGTATCTATCTATCATTTTAGACCACTTACTTCCAACCATACTTAATACCAATGAAAATAGTATATTTTATTTATAAACTTATAATCCAGATGAATTAGCTATATATATATTTATTTATTTGTAAGTTCACAAAGTTATTCCATATTTATTTGTTAGGATGAAATTTTAGTTGAGAAAAAAACAATTCGTACAATGGAGACAATAAATAGAGTAACGAATGGTTAGCCTGAATTCATGGAATATAAAGAAACTAGCGGACCCCCAGATATAAAAAAGAATATTAAAGGTGGGTTCATGGATATGCAACGCGTGCCCAAAATACACCACGTGAGCGCGAGACGACGAGGTACATAACTGCCACGTCTTATACAAACACGCCACGTAACCAACCCTTTGTCCGAGAAACTCCCACCGACTCGCCCAGTGCACCAACTTATAAACCCAAGTCTCACCCTCAAGCTCCCAAACCGAATTTTGGATACTTTTCAGATCAAAAGGCAGCGATGGGGACAAGCACGTGGTCGTTTGTGGCGGTTTTGTGGCTGTTATGGGCGGTGGAGATGGGGGTGGTTGAAAAATGCAGGGGTGAAATAGGACAAGGAGCAGTGAAGGATGTGAAGGATAATATCACTGAAATTACGGAGATGGCGAATCTTGATGGAAAAGCAGAAGCCCTTAAGAAAGGTGCTTCTGAAGTGTTTAATGACGCCAAGGACGCGGCCGAGTCTTGGTCCAACTGGGCTTCTGCCGAGATTTCCAAGTAAATATTTGTTGTTTCTTGTTCCATGTTTTATTCTAAGTCAACAATGTCGTGACTTGGAACCACCCGAGTTTAGCCAAATTTTTAGGGGTTTTTATTTTATTTTTTTCTTTTGAATAATTTAGCCCTCAAAAATATTTATGTAGGGGATTAGGATTGGAAGAAGAAGGATTGAAACAGACAGCCCACCACATGATGGACAAAGCCGGCGACGCGAAAACGAAGGCCAAAGAGACGCTTGTGAACGGGAAAGAGAAGGCGGCGAAGGTGTATGAGGCGGCTAAAACCGAGGTGGAGCGGGAAGTTGCGGCGGTTAAGGAGTGTGTGAACTGTGAAGCTGCTAAAGAGATGGCGTCGCATGCCGCCGTACAAATCGGGGCGAAGATAAGGGAGAAGTCCTCGGAGCTGTGAGCTTGACGCGCGGCTGTCTTTTTTGTATTGATTTTCATTTTATTTTATTTTTGGGTCTAGGCTGAGTTGTAAAATATTCATTATTGTTGATACTGTCTTGTTAAGGATATTTAGTAATAAATTATAGTTTACCATATATATTATATTTGATATTTTAGTATAAGGTAAATATCTAATATTTGCCTTATTATCATAGGTATCTTTCCATTTATTGTTATTTCCATTTATTACTATTTCCGATTATAAATAAGATAACTCTCACACCATCTAGGAGTGGTGGATTAATCAAACATTCACATGGTATCAGAGCCCTCTCGGTTTAACAACCCCGATCCTTTCTTTTCAATGGCTTTTGAATCCTCTAATCTTCTTCTCCACCACCCCTGCTGGTTTTGACACCGCAGGGGCAGTCTTCATGGCTGCCGTAGTCGGAGCCGATTGATTACTCTTCGGCTCTACCCTATTGACCTCCAAATCACCTTTCGTCATACTCTGTACATACAACCTCACCTTTTCCAACCCAATCGGTTTTCCCCTTGGCCAATATAGTCTCTCTCATTTTCTTCCCAATCAACCTTCATCCTTCACATAAACCCTAACCTAAACCTATCAACCTTTTGTAGAGATTTACCTTCGGAATCTGGGTGCTGCACTGGCCTATTCGCCAACCAAGTTGCCGCCGCCCTTCCTGCCAAAATTGGCTTCTTCGCCCAATGTGGCGACTCTTCCGGCTTCAACATTGTCTTTGTCCCTTGCTCTAGGTTTCCCCTTCTACTTTTTGGGGTTAGAAATATTCTCACCAGAGCCAAGGCAGCATCGTCGCTAAGCGACAATCCCTCTTCATGGGTTAGACATATTCTCGCCGAAGCCAAGGCAGCATCGCCGCTGAGCGGCGATTCCTCTACAATTTTTGATGGCCAAGAACCGGGTTGTTAGCATCTTCATGAAAAGTGTTTCTCAACCTCTTTGAATTTTTCAGATTCAAGCTTCACGTTCGTTTAAATCCGACGCTTAGCTTGCGGTGGGGTGTTAAGGATATTTAGTAATAAATTATAGTTTACCATATATATTATATTTGATATTTTAGTATAAGGTAAATATCTAATATTTGCCTTATTATCATAGGTATCTTTCCATTTATTGTTATTTCCATTTATTACTATTTCCGATTATAAATAAGATAACTCTCACACCATCTAGGAGTGGTGGATTAATCAAACATTTACATGGTAACGAGATTCTTCTTCTCGTGAATAATTGTTCCGCGAGCGATACTCATGAATACTGTTTCAATGTATGTTGGGGCTAGGAAAATGGGCTTTCTATATATTTTATAGGCTTTCTGTGAAGGAAAATTGGCCCAATTATTGTAAAAAACATTTATTAAAAGCTCGTAGATGCCTTAGAACAAGAAAAGATACGTTAATGTCATGATATTCTGCATATCCCTATAAAACAAATGTAGTCATTATTTTAGATGCCCTCTGCATGAACACCTAACATCACCATAAAATAATGCGCCAAAGTATTCAATTTTGTAGTCATTACTAAAGTAAGAATAGTAGTAATATTGTATATAAACTATGAGGGCTAAATTGGTATTTGAAGGGGGGGGGAAGGGGTGAATTCCGATGATGAGAAGAATTAAATAGTGTGGAAAATTGAAGTGAATAATATATATATGCATAGAGAGTTAGAAAATCGAAATAAAACCATGATGCCTAAACAAAAAGAAGACGAAACGAAAACCAAAAAAACATTAAAAAACAAAACAGGCGGCGGGTCTCCCAATGGACAAATCCACGACGCCCATCATCATCATCATCACTTCACCCTACAATATCCTTTTAGTTTCTTCTTAACTTTTGATTGCTTGGGAACCCAGAAAGTGAGAGGGAAAAAGAACCAAAACTAAGAACAACTTGTAATTATCTGAGCTTTTAAATCCACTTCTACCCATTGAATCGGTAGAGAAAAAGGAATTGGATTTTTAACCATAGCCATTTTCGCCGCATTTTAATTTTAATTTTTTTTTTTAAAAGCTAAATAATAAAGAAAAAGGCTTCTCCATTGATCTGGGTCTGGGGGGGATCATCTTGTGAAGTCATGGACGAGGCTGGGCCGGTGATCGGTAACGTTGAGGCGCCAAGAGAGATAAGAGATGCCATTTTCTTGTTCGGTTCTTCGAACGTCGTCGTTTCCTATAAACATTGATTCGTTGCTAATGGCCGCCGCCGCCGACAGGCACGGGAGTTTCTGGGTTGCCACCGGCGAGTGATGTGGAACCCACGTAGCGCTTGAATTCGTGTAGTTTCCGCTGAACATCTGGTGGTGTTGGTGGGGGTGATGGTGGTTGTTAGATTCCGCCGCCATTGCGGTAGCCGTGCAGTTCACCGTCGCCGCCGCCCTCCGCTCTTCCTTCTTGAACCGAATCCCACACGCGTTGCATAGGGACTGCATTTCAATTGAATAAATAAATTCAAATTTTATTGCTACAATAAAATCTTTAAATTTGACACTAAAATAAAAAAGTAATTACATTGAATTTAGTCTATCTCAATTCTTCTTTAATTCAAATTATTGTAATTTTTATTTAAAATTATAACGTTTTAACCAATAAAATTATACTAAATAATATAAGCATCGGTAACTTAAACAGAACTCCAACAAATTACTAAAATCAGAATAGAATCTGTATTATAAACAATTGTTAAACTTTAAAAAATAATTTGCATTTAAAAACAAAAGAAAATTAAAATAATTTCCATAATTTGAAATCACGTGATTTACCTTAGGCCCTCTCGGCCCATTTCTCCAAAGCGGAGTAGAAGTGGTATCGCAGTTAGCGCACCGTCGAGCAAGGAGCGGATCGCCACCGGAAGGGACAGCTGCGGCATTACTAGCCGTGGAACGGCCAGCACTCTTGTGTTTAGGATGCAACAAGTCCCAACAGAAGTTAGACACATAAGAACCGGCGGAGTGGCGGTGATGGCGGGGGGCGGCGCGTTTGTCGGAATCAAACTCCGACGATCTCGTAGAGGGAGTACCAAGAGAGAGAGTACAATCAACGGATGAAGGAGAAGAAGAAGAGGAGGAGGAGGAGGAGGCATAATTATTAGAGTAGATGTCCATCATGTCATGGGCGGCGCCACCGTGGTTGGGCACCGACAAAAAGACGGAAAATGACGAGGCAGCTCCGCCGGCACCGCCGCAGTGGTGCATCATATTTGTTGGTCCGGCAAATGGGCAATGAAATGGAAGAGAGGAAGGGGGTGGAGAGGAAAAGAGAATGAATTGGGAAATATATAAAATAGAAAAGGGAGATAGATATAGAGGGGAAGAGGAGAGACAAAGGGATGGGGCCCATTTTGCATGTTCTAGAGAGAGAAATTGAAGGAAAAAAAAAAAAACAAAACTGAAAGGGACTTAGTGAGAGACCGGAACTGAGTCATCTAGTCAGTGATGGTAGTGGCATGTTTTTAATTTATATCTCTCTCTTTTATTTATTTTTAGTATTATTCATATGTTTTAAATTTCCTTATAATTAATTTAACCAAAATTAACTCAATTATTATCACTCAAACTTAGGATACACTTATAAAATACATTATTATTTTGTCGTATGGTTATATTCGTTAAATTAAAGAAAAAAATAATTATGGGGGGGGGGGGGGGGGGGGGGGNGGGGGGGGGAGATTTTGGTAATTGTGTTAGTCAAAGGAGGCCACGTGACTAGGGGGAACAGTCTTCCATGGATCTGCCGTCTCCGATCACGAGGCCTAAATATTAGACCCTCCAAAACATCTGTCCGTATCCAATCTTTTTTTTCTCTCTCTCTGTCCTCTAAAACTAAAATGATTTGAATTTATGTATGGTTAGTCGTAAACTACATGATTAAATTAGAAGTTAGTATAATGGAATTAGTGAAAGTAGTAGTAAGATTAAAAAGGTAGTGATTTTAGAGAGAGAGAGAGAGAGAGAGAGAGAGAAAAGTAAGTAAGAAGAGGCAGTGTTGAGTTGATGAGAGTCAGTAGCCGTACGTGGTGAGAAGGGGATCACGTGAACCCAAAAGTGAGAGGGGGGGAGTTGGGTAATGATAAGCATAAGCAGGTGAATGAGGGGTGGGGATTGGGCAGTTTTGTGGTATAAGTGTAGTTAGTGTGTGGGGGTGTGGGTATCAGAAGAAGAAGAAGAAGAAGATGATTCAGGAGATTGATTTAGATAGTGTTTTGTTTTCATCTTGTGTTGTGATGATGATGATGTGTTTGCAGTGAAAGATAAGAGAGCATATAGGAAGGAGGAGGGAGGAGGAGGGTTGAATTGACCCCACATGGATGATTTGATCACCTTAACCCCCCCTTGCTTTTCTTTTCTTTTCTTTTCTTTTCTTTTTCTCTCAACACAGAATCAGATCGTCTAGAGATTGGTGATTCAGACAGAGTTGGACAAACCGGGACGACCACCGCTTTCCAAAAGATGCCCCCCCTCTCTCTCTCTTTCCCTCCCTCCATTTTTATTTTGGAATTTGATTAACCTTTTAAAAATATTTTCTAGATTTTTAAACTCGGTTTCAATCCTAAATTGACCCTTTATTTGAGAATTGGGGTAAGTAATTCAAAATCAAAATAAACTAAGAGTTTCTAACTAGGAGATAAGGTAAGAAGGTAAGGTAATAAAGTGAGAGATTAAAATTTAATAAATGGTTAAAAAAAAAAAAGTTGAAAAATGGTCCTAAAAGTTTGGTCCTAAAATATTAATTAAAACACATTATTATTATTATTATTATTAGTATTAATAAGAGTATTAATGGGAAAAAAACAACATTAATAGTCTCGATTAGGTCGAGACAGAAATGAATGTTTGTTTTGATCCACACACCACATGCAAATTTATTTATTTTTTTAATTTTTGGGTTCTCGTATTTCTCGATTGCTACTGCCTCATTCCACGTGAGAGTCTTTTGTAAACCGTGGAGTTTTGATGGGTGTGTCCCCCTCCCAATATATATATATATATATATATTAATTATTATATAAAAAAAGCTAGAGAATCTGATTTTGTGGTGTTTTTAAGGCATTTCAAATAAAC